CGATTGAACGTTGAACTGACCTGCTGATGAATTAAAATAACCGATCGTGCCGCCGCATACAAACGGTCGAGCAATCATTGATCGTATATACATTGAACTTTCCCGCTCGCAGGCGGTTGAATTAACTTTACAACCATAAAATTTACATAGAAATGACGACCGGGACTAACTCGCAGGTCCAGCCCCCACTTCGTCTAAAAATACAAAAAATAGGCTAATGCCTAAAAAGAACGAGGTGCTCGGAATTCCAAGTCCCCTCTATTAACCGACCCATCGTTGTCTCTAGTCGGTATGTTCCCGGCCGGATGACAGCGTTGATGATGTACGGCCCTTCCCAGTTCTGAGCTAGCTTTCCCCCTTCTAAAGGTTGACTGGCCTCCCTTCGTCGTAAAACGTAATCTCCGACTTGAAAATAACGAGGGTTGACCCGAACGTCCTTCGAGCTCTTGACGCGCTTCTGGTATTCGGCCATACGCCGAGCGGCTAGCTCCCTTTTTTCTTCGACCGCATCGAGGTCCACAGCCATGGCGTGTTCATTGTCCTCCGCGTTGTAGGTTCTCTCTCGATCGGTCGGGATCCAAGCCTCGATCGGTAGTCGGGCTTCGGCACCGTAAACCAGGGCGAAAGGGGTCTCCAAAGTAGCTTCTCTCGGGGTCGTCCGATAAGTCCATAAGACATATGGCAACTCATCGGCCCAACTACGACCGGCCGAGTGTAACTTCTTCTTCAGACCTTCCAGTATCGTCCGGTTAGCATTTTCCACCTGTCCATTTCCCCGCGGGTAAGCGACAGACGACCGGACATGAGTCGTCCCGATCGTGGCCAGGAAATTCTGAAAATATTGGCTCACAAATTGGCGACCGTTATCGCTGATGAGATGTACGGGCACGCCAAAACGGGAAACGACATTGCGCCAAAGGAACCGAGCACACTGCTGAGATGTGATCGTGGCTAAGGGCTCGGCTTCTATCCATTTAGAGAAGTAATCCACGGCGACGATCACGAACCTTCTCCTACCGGACAGCTGAGGAAAGGGGCCCAAGATGTCTACCCCCCACCTAGCGAAAGGAACTGCGGTCGTGACGGGCTGGTAGAACGTTGCAGGTCGTCCAGGCATCCGGGCGTACAGTTGGCACGTCTCACATTCCCGAGCTAGCTTCTCACAGTCTAGCTGGAGGGACGGCCAGTAGTACCCGATCAGCATGATACGACGGGCCAGGGATCGACCTCCCTGATGTGAGGAGCAGATTCCTGAGTGAAGCTCCTTCATTACTAAATCCGCCTCGAACGCGGTTAGGCATCGCATGAGAGGGCCTCCATACGATCGTCGATACAGACGATCGTTCACGACTTGGAACCTCGGGGCTCTCAGCTTAGCTTTTCGAGCACGCTGCGGGTCGTCTGGGAGTCGACCGTGCTCGAGATATTCCTTCAGATCGGTGATCCAGCTATCTTCCACCGGTTGGATTGGATTGACCGGCAAGCGATGGATACTGTGTTTGGGGATCACCAAGATCCGGGCTATCTTCGACATGTGTTCCGGGGCATCTTGGGCCAATTTGGACAAGATATCCGCATCGGCGTTATCCAATCGGGGTATATGTCGGACGGTGTACCCCCGGAACTGTGCAAGCTTCTCCACGGCGAGGTCTCGGTATAGTTGTAGACGTTCTCCGTTGACCTCATAATCTCCGAGAACTTGCCCGACTACGAGCGCAGAATCGGTTTGGGCTCGGATGTATTCAGCCCCCAAGTCCCGAGCGCATTGCAAGCCATTCACAAATGCTTCATACTCGGCTTCGTTGTTGGTCGGGTGGAACTGATACATCAGAGCGAAATACACCTTGAAACCTTCTGGGCTCATGACCACTACTCCTCCGCCCGCTCCTTTTTTGCTACTTGACCCGTCAGTAGCTAGCGACCACCACTCGGCCTCGGGATCCTCAACCTCGGGGGGTCGGGTATCCCGGGCGGTGCACTCGACCAAGAAATCTGCCAGAGCCTGACCATTGATTGCTGGTCTCGGTCGGTATTCGATCGCGTACTGGGTCAGCATTAACGCCCATTTGACTAGGCGACCGGATGAAGAGGCGGTGCGAAGGACTGGTCCGATCGGCTGATCGGTCAACACGCGAATCGCTCGACCCTTGAAGTAGGGAGCCAACTTCTTCGCGGCGGTATAGAGGGCGTAGACGACCTTCTCTAACCGGGAGTACCGGAGCTCGGGACCATGTAGCGCGTGGCTTACATAGTACACCGGTCGCTGGACCCCTTCCGGATCGGTTCGGCACAATACTGCGCTTACTGCACGATCGGAGACGGCGAGGTACACGTCTAGCTCTTCCCCGAGCTCGGGCTTTGAGAGCACAATAGGTGACATGAGGTACTCCTTCAACTCGTCAAAAGCTGCTCGGCATTCTTCGTCCCAGACGAACCCACTAACTTTTCGCAATACCTTGAAGAAAGGTAGAGCACGCTCGGCTAACTTGGAGAGGAACCGGCTAAGGGCCGCCAACCGACCGGTCAATTGCTGGACCTCCCGAACGGTAGAAGGTGGTTGCATGTCCAGAATCGCTTTAACTTTGGCCGGGTTGGGCTCAATTCCTCTCTTGGTCATCATGTAGCCGAGGAACTTGCCGGTCTGAACCGCGAATGTACACTTGGTCGGGGTTCAGCCGCAACTGGTACTTCCTCATGATCTGGAAGCACTCCCGGAGGTCCCGAGTATGGTCGGACCGGTCCCGACTCTTGACCAGCATATCATCAATGTAAGCCTCCATTGTTCGGCCCAATAGATCGGCGAAGAGCATATTGACCATTCTCTGATAGGTCGCTCCTGCATTCCGGAGGCCAAACGGCATCACTCGGTAACAATACAGCCCGTCCGGGGTTACGAAGGCTGTCTTGCTCTCGTCTTCATGGTGCATCATTATTTGGTGATATCCCTTGAAGGCATCCATGAAGCTCATCAACTCGGCCCCGGCCGTCTCGTCGACCATTTGATGAATGCTCGGTAGAGGATAAGGGTCGAGCGGACAGGCCTTGTTGAGGTCCGTGAAGTCTATGCACATCCTCCAAGCTGGGGGCTTTGGAACTAGAACAATGTTTGCCACCCACTCGGGGTAGATAACCGGGCGGATGTGCTCGATCGCCGCCATTTTCTTGACCTCTTCTCTGACAAACTCGCGGCGATCGGAAGATAGGTGTCGTGTCTTCTGCACGACCGGCCTCGCCGCGGGATCGACGGCTAGCTTATGGCAAATGACCGATCGATCGATCCCGGGCATGTCCTCGGGTCCCCACGCAAAAATATCAGCATACTCCCTGAGTATGCTCAGAACCTCCGCTCGGAGCTCGGGGGTGAGGGCCCGGCCAATTTTAATCTTCCTATCCGGGCGGTCCTCGGATAGGGGAACTTCTTCTATCTCTTCGGAAGGTTCGGGTTGCTCCTTCCGTTCTTTGGCCTCCTCTTTGGCTATAGTGTTCACCCGGGAAGACGGACCGGAATCGCGTCTGTTGACCGCTCGGGTGTAGCACTTCCGGGCGGACTGGACATCGCCACGGACCACACCGACCCCACTTGGGGTGGGGAATTTCATGCAGAGATGGGGCATGGAAATTATCCCACCGATCTTCATGATGGCGGGTCGGCCTAGGATGATGTTGTGGACGCAATGGAGGTTGACCACAACGAACTCAAGCTCTGTCTTGATCGACTTCGGGGGGGTGCCGATCTCGACCGGGAGAGTGACTTTGCCTTCGGGGTAAATGAGGGCCCCGGTAAACCCCGACAGTGGTACACCGACCGGAGTCAGCTCCTTCCTGTCAAGGCCAAGCTTCTCGAACACGTCCAAGTACAGGACGTTCACACTGCTACCCGTGTCCATCATAACCCTCTGGACGTCCGTTCCCTTGACGTCGATTGTGACCACGAGCGCCTCCATGCCGTGGTCACTGCTGCTAGGTTGGTCCTCTAAGGTAAAGGTTATGGGCTCCATTTTTTGTCTTTTCCCGGTCTCTCGGGAATCCACGATCGCAACCGGGCAATTCGTCCTCGGCTGGGAAGCGTCTTCTAAGCCACCAAATATGACATGGATGGTGGGCTTGCCGACCGGGCGACTGCTGGTCGGGGGATCAGGGTCCCGTCGGTCTTCATGACGATCGTCCCTTCGATCGTCTCTTCGGTCCTGACCCGACCGATCGGAGCGGTGATGAGATCGCCTGTGATCCCTCCGATCGGTATTCCTCTTGCTTTCTTCTCTCTTCCCCACGCACTTGTCCAATTTTCCCAAATTGAGCAAATCTTCCAACAAGTGGCGCAGGTGGGTGCACTCCTCGGTATCATGCCCGGCGCATCGGTGGTAAGCACAGTGCTTACTCTTATCAGGGCCGTCTCGATCGGGATGGGGGAGTTTGATGAGGTTGCAAGATTGAGCATACTGCATGGCCTCCGCTGCAGATCGGTTTAAGGCCGTAAACTCCGCAGGCCTGGTGCGGGATCGGGGACGATCGTGTCCCGATTGATGTTCCGCCCGGCCGGCCGGTTTACGGGACGAAGAACCGACCTCTTGTGAACGTTTCACGGCATTCGCCTCACCAGCATTGGCGTAATCCGTGACCCTTCGGAGGGCCTCCTCATACGTGGTCGGGGGGTGGAGGATAAAATCCTGGTACAGGTACCCCGCCCGAAGGGAGATATGGAGCATGTGGGTGGCGGTCGCATCATCCATGGGTTCGACCTCCCCGACCGCTGCTTTCCACTTGATGAGGAAGTCGGTCAAGCTTTCCCCTTCGAGCTGCTTGGCCTTCTCGAGGTACATGTAAGACTTCCTCACCACTTTGGAAGTAATGAACTTCCGTACAAACTTGATCGCCAGGGTCTCAAATTTGTCGATCGACCCCGGGGGCAAGGTGCGGAACCACTCTGCTGCCCGACCGGTGAGGGTTGAGTAGAAGGCCCTGCACATCACGGCGTCTGAAACGCCCTTCAGCATCATGTTGCTGAAAAAATCGTTCACGTGAGCCTCAGGATCTGTCCGACCGTCGTAGCTCTTCTCTCCCGAGACCTTTAAGTCGAGCGGGTAAGGCTGAGCCATTACCGCTGCTGTGAAAGGCGTCTAGTGGAGGGTCGATCGGTCGGCCGAGGGTGCTGTAGGATATGCACTCCTGAGCTGCGCAACTTCGGCCTGGAGATTGTAGAGCAATCCTCGGGTTTCGTTGAGCTCGGCGTTCTGGGCGGCTTGGGCTGTATCCCGAGCGCGTCGACGTCGATGTGATCTCGACCCGCTGTACCCGGATGAAGCCTCGTGGCTAGCTTCCTGCATTTGTTCGTCCTCTTGCCTGGGGTTCGGGTCCTGGGGTCCCAGACGCTGGCGCATCTATGGTCGGAGACGGTCGAAAGCTACCGCTCGGGCAACTTCCTCGGGGTCCTCCGCTTGAACGGCCTGAACTGGTGCCTCCATCGCATCAGCACCCCCCGACCCCAACCGCGAATGAGCCGAGCGTCGAGCCCGGGAAGTGGACTGACGCTGCGGCTCTACCTGTGCGATTGGTTGTACTGGAGGGGCGGCGGCTGGAGCTGTATAGCCAGGCGTATATGGTGGATGGCCAACCGGGGAAGTGTAGCACATCGGTTGGCCTGGCCAAAACCCGTATGGTGGAGGTGGAACTGGATACGGGTACTGGGCGGGATACATCATCGGCTGCTGCTGGTATGGCAGACCGGGTGGTGGGTATCCCGGTTGTATATAATTCACCGGCTGCTGGGCGGCCGGGTACGTATTTGACGGATGTGGCGGTGAGAGATTGAGGTTGAGGTCCATCGTCTGACCCTGCTGTTGGGTAGCATAGTGGTCGGAGGAGCTCGCCGCATCCGCCTGGTCGTCGGCGAAGTTGTTGTGTGCCCACGGATACATGTTGGAAAAGAGACCGGGTGCTCGTCAAGATGTTGGCTCGTTGCACGGGTCCCCACAGACGGCGCCAAAATGATACTGCTAATTCTACGTAAGCAATATAAATAACACAAGACCAATTAAAGCAGGTAAAGTCTTTATTGATCAAGGTAGAGTTCCTAAGTACAATCTACTTGGTTGCTCTGAGTACCGACTGAGTGCGGTCGGGATTCTCTAATAACAACCTATCGATCGTCCAAAAGTCCCCTACACTGTAGCTACTGTGGGTATTTATAGCCGCGACGCCGGAGACAAGCTTCCGGCCGTTCGGCATGCTCTCCACGTAGCCTCCACGCGTCCTCCTCCCGGGTGCCCTGCCTGTCGTCGTAGAAAGCCGCCACGTGTCTTTAGCCAGCTCTCTCGCCTAAGGACCACCGCTCGGGGTTCATAGCATCGCTCGGGCAACTCCCGGTCGGTCACCGACCGGGTTCTCCTCAAGGAGCCCGACCTGTTACCTGCAAAGATATAGGCAAATGGACAAAGGCATCTCGGTCGTGGTGGAGCTATGTCGGTCGGGATATTCCCTACCATATATATATATATATATATATATATATATATATATATATATATATATATATATATATATATATATATATATGTGGTTCCCGGGAAAATGTACGGTCATTGACCATTAGGTATGTAAGAATGCACTACAACGTGTTCAGAAATGCACCAGAGTATAGTCATTGTTTGGTTAACAGCGGTTTGGAGCAGCGAATTGCTCCAAACCGCTGATTTTAGAGTTTCTCTTTAGCGTTTTGGGCAAAAATGCCCAAAACACCCTTATATTAAAAAAAAATTTAATGTTATTATTAAAATGAGAAGCCTCAGTGCCTGAGGCTTCTAATTCCCTGCCCATCCGATGTGGAAATCAGATGGGCTGGGATGCAAAATGGGGTGTTGAGTTTCCCTTTTAATGAGGAAGCTCAACGCCCTTTTTTTTTTATTTGTTTTCGATTTGGGATCAGATTTGATCCCACATCACATTTATCTTTTTTATTTTATTTTTTTTTTTAATTTTGATGATGATGATGATGATGATGATGATGGTGATGATGTGATGGTGATGGTGATGGTGATGGTGATGGTGATGATGATGATGATGGTGATGGTGATGATGATGATGATGATTATTATTATTATTATTATTATTATTATTATTATTATTATACCATTTTGGTCATTATACATGTTAACCGTTAATCTAAACCGCTAATTTTACCAAACATATTTTTATAGACCGCTGATATAATCCGCTAGTCAAACCCGCTAACACAATCCGCAATTTGTAACCGCTAACCGCTGTTTGCCAAACAAGGCCATAGTGCATTTTTGTGGTGCATTTCACCTTAGTGCATTTATGAACATGTTGTGATGCATTTATGTATACCTAATGCTGCATAACCGCATGTCACAGGGTTGTGCATTTGTGCATTTCACCCTGGTGCATTTTTGAATATTTTGTGATGCATATCTAATGGTGTAATTCGCACTAGAACATAACGCAACATTTGAACCACTATATATAGGATCTGGTTCGTGTCCGGTCATGCACCATTAGGTATGCAAAAATGCACCATGACATATTCAAAAATGTATCAAGGAGTACTGCATTTTTTTGGTGCATTTCAACCTGGTGCGTTACTAAACATCTGGTGGTGCATTTATGCATACATGTTAGTGCATGACTACACGTCCTAAGGAGGGTGTGGTGTATTTGTAGATTTTATCTTGATACATTTTTTGAATATGTTATGATACATTTATGCATAATTAATAGTACATTACCGCATATTTGCACCAAAAAACCTGTCTACATTTGATCAAGTATTTATATAAAAGTCGTTCTGTGGAAGGAAATATTTTTAGTCAAATGTTCATACTTCGTCACATACAACGTAAAAGCAAACCATGGTAGGTGGTCAAACTTGTATTTATTACTATTAATTATTAAATTTATTTGTTTTAAATTCGCCTCATACAATGCGAAAGCTAAGTAGCTAACCATGGGGCATGGTAGATAGTCAAACTTGTATTTATTACTTCAGTATTTATTTGTTTTTAATTTTATTTATTAAATTGTACTTTGACAAATATCACAATCACTAATATTTGTTGCCTACACATATTAATCTCACATTGATGCACCACTTCTTCCTATTCATTAAGCATTGATTGATTTTTATCACAAATATAATAAAAATGTTTTAAATTTGAAATTACGATTAAATATTGCCTAAAAACACAAGAAGTTAAGAATAATACTACACTTACTTTTTACACCCGTAATACAATATTTTTTATACTTTGAAATATGTTACGTATTAATGTATGTCTTCAGTGTATAATGTAATTCAACTAGTTGACCAGTTTAAAGTTAGATGTGTTTGAATTTGTATAAGATTAATCATATTGTTGTATGTGTAAAAATACATTTTGAAGAATTTATAAATTGTTGTAACGTAACACATTTATTATTGCAACGGAATCGGACATGTAACCGGGGTAAAATTTGTTACAAATATACTTATATAATTATAATTATTGGGAAGCTAAGCAAATTGAAATGGAAAGAAAATGAAGCATATAGGTAAAGATAGGATGTTGCAACAATAATTGGCCTGGAAGGGGTAGCAGCATTGCATTAGTGATCTCTTGAGGATACGGGCAGGTGTTGAATATGGCGTTGCGCTACTGTCATGGGCCCCACTTCTTAATACTCACAATTTCAACTCCTTTTTTGCACCCTTTTCAGTTTTCGCACTAGCACACGTTATCTCCTTCACTGTACCCCCCTCGCCATTTTTTTCCTTTTTTGTTTTTAATTAAATTCATTATTATAAAAATAAATCGGTAGCCAGTAGCATTCAAAAAAATAAATCGGTATTCATAATTTTGAATTTCAAACCTAAGGTCCATTGCATGTCCTTTGGTGGTTTAGGATTATATATAGATAGTTTTGATTAAAGAATTAATATGATTAAAGAATTCCAAAGTAGGCTAACTCATAATCTAAATTTAGGTGGCAAGGAATTAAATTCTGTTAAATGTTTAACTCATATTAAAAAAGAAAAAAAATATTTCCTCAATACGGAATATCTTATGCCAAAGACCTTGACAGTATATAACTATGGCTCTCTCAAATAAAAGGTTACAGGTTTAAATTGATTTTTTATATTTCAATAGATTAAAAAAATATAGAAAAATAATATATTGTATTGAGTTAGCAGTACCTAAAAAAAAATACCTTACAAAATTGTTACACATTTTTTAATAATAAAAAAAATATCATCATATTATAATCAACCACAAAAATTGTAAAATTTTTTTGAATGCTACTGGCCCTATTACAATGTAGTATCTGTTCATATACTTTCTCAACCTACTAAACACAAAGAACCAATAACACCTCCAAAAATTGAAAAACTTAATTGTAGTATTACACATTTTTCACCGCTTTATTTGGTATTGATGATACAAATACTGTTAATATAATGTTAATATAAAGTATAATTTATACTAAATTATACTCCGTATTATTTAGTATTGATAATACAAATACTGTTAATATCAAGTATAATCTATACTTAATTATATTATTTAGTATTAATAATAAATATATTGTTAATATAAAGTATAATCTATACTTAATTATATTACTCTGTATTTAGTATTGATAATACAGATATTGTTAATTAATATCAAATATAATCTATACTTAATTATATTACTCCGTATTTAGTATTGATAATAATACAGATATTGTTGCCTGCATGGGTAGCTCAATTGGTTATAGAGGTGAAAGTTTGGAAGAATGACTAGGGATCGAGTCTCACCAGTGGCAGTGAGGAGGGCTCCTTGTGCGCAGTGAGCACCGGTCTAGTTGATTTACATGTGTGTGGGGGGCAACCTTTAGGGTTGGGGTTCTTCCTTTTGGAAGAATAATACAGGTATTGTTAATATAAAGTAGGGAAAATAACACTTTTTCCCCCTGAGTTATATACTTATAGTCTTTTAGGGTTGGGGTTCTTCCTTTTGGAAGAATAATACAGGTATTGTTAATATAAAGTAGGGAAAATGACAATTTTCCCCCTGAGTTATATACTTATAGTCTTTTTTCCTCCTCAATTATTTAGGTAAACACATTAGCCCCCTCAATTATTTAAAAAATGTTCAGTTGAGTTACCATGATTTACATGGGTGTGGGGGGCCTTTAGGGTTGTGGTTCTTCCTTTTGGAAGAATAATACAGATACTGTTAATATCAATTATAATCTATACTTAATTATATTACTCCATTTAATATTGATAATACGGGTATTGTTAATATAAAGTAGGGAAAATGGCACTTTTCCCCCTGAGTTATATACTTATAGTCTTTTTTCCCCCTCAATTATTTAGGTAAGCACATTAGTCCCCTCAATTATTTTAAAAGTGGTAGTTTTTCCCCCCTGATATATTAAATTGACATTTCTACCCTTAAAGTAAACATTTTATTTATTTTACTTTTCCAAAAAATTTCGCATATACGTAGGGATGACCACGGTTCGGATCAAACTGAACCGGACACTATAGCAATTGAATTAAAAGTTTCCGGTTATGATTCAGATCTAGAACCTAATATTTGGATTTCAATTTATTAAAATTATGAATAAAAAAATTGGATCTTGAACCGTGAATCGGCGGTTCGCGATTTTGAACCGTCTTTATTTTAAAATTTTATTTTTTATTTTAAATAGTCTAAATTCAACAATAAATGTATTTTATTTTTTCAGTTCGGAACATGAACTGTCGTTCCGGTTCGCGATTTTAATAAACTCTAAATATCGAGTTTCGATTCTAAATTGTAATTGGAATATTTCGGTTTGGTTGCTATAGTGTTTGTTTGGTTTGAACCAAATTATGGTCATAATTTGTTGGAGAAGGAAAATAAATGAAATATTTATTTTAAGGGTAAATATGTCCATTTAACATTTCAGGGGGAAAAACAGCCACTTGAATAATTCAGGGGGGGGGGGGGGGGGGGGGGGGGGAATGCTATAAGTATATAACTTAGGGGGAAGAAGTGTCATTTTCCCTATAAAGTATAATCTATACTTAATTATATTACTCCGTATTTAGTATTGACAATACAGATACAGTTAATATCAAGTATAATCTGTACGTAATTATATTATTTAGAATTTGATAATACAAATATTGTTAATATCAAGTATAATCTATACTTAATTACATTAGATACTATATATAATAAAAGAAAATATAAAAAAAGGTACTCCGTATTTGGTAAATCATTATACAAAATATTTTGTGTTCGAGTCACATGATTATTACGTTCACAAATCCTGTGGGGTTAAGATGTTGGACTCGGTGAGAATTTTTGCCTTTTGTGAGCGAGTACACACTTTGGGATTGAATGACATAATTTACCACATTTATGAACCCTATTGAATTTAAACTTCAAAAGTGAGAAATTTTATTTTTAGTGGAGAAGATAAAGCAAAACACTTGTCCAAAATATTAGTGATATGTATGAAATTAATAATTAATTAATAATAATAATAATAATAGGAGGAGGAGGAAGAAAAAGAAGGTGATGATGGCAGGGCATAATCTATACTTAATTATATTACTCCGTATTTAGTATCGATAATAATACAGATATTATTAATATCAATTATAATCTATACTTAATTATATTAGTCCATTTAATATTGATAATACAGGTATTGTTAATATAAAGTATAATCTGTACTTAATTATATTACTCCGTATTTAGTATTGACAATACAGATACGGTTAATATCAAGTATAATCTATACGTAATTATATTATTTAGAATTTGATAATACAAATATTGTTAATATCAAGTATAATATATACTTAATTACATTAGATACTATATATAATAAAAGAAAATATAAAAAAGGTACTCCGTATTTGGTAAATCATTATACAAAATATTTTGTGTTCGAGTCACATGATTACTACGTTCACAAATCGTGTGGGGTCAAGATGTGGGGCTCGGTAAGAATTTTTGCCTTTTGTGCGTGACAGTATTTTGTGATTAAATGACATAGTTTACCACATTCATGAACCTTATTGAATTTAAACTTCAAAAGTGTGAAATTTTATCTTTTGTGGAGAAGATAAAGCAAAACACTTTGTCCAAAATATTAGTGATATGAATGAAATTAATAATTAATAATAATAATGATAATAATAAGAGAATTGAAGCATGTGTTCCATGTTAACTAAAAATTTAATTTGATAGTTTTGCAACTTAATGGTAATATGTTCAACACGCTCCTCACCGTATGCGGTGGATTCCACTCTGATATCAAGTATGTGTTTTATCTCAATTAAAAGGTTAAATTGATAGTTAGATTACACATTAATGGTTATATAGTCAACAAGGAGGAGGAAGAAAAAGAAGGTGATGATGGCACGGCATGGCATATCTGCCTGTCTTTCCCGAAAAGCTAACACAGCATACCCCCATGATCCTTGTCCTCTCACCACACCTGACTCTCTCCCTCTCTCCTCTTTTTTCATTTGCATTATTCCCTTTTTCATTTAAACATTACACTTTCAATTCTTTATTTCCTCCACTCCACTCACTTCATTCCCTCTCCCTCTCTCTCTCTGTAAACTCCGATCCATCTCTAAGTTGATACAAAAAACACAGCCATGAAGAAGCTGGAGATGGAGCTGAGCTCCCCGGAGCCAAAACAGATGGAGTCGCAAGTGGAAGAAGAAGAAGAAGGAGCAGCAGGAACAGCTACATTCCCAAGGGAAGCCAGATCAAAGGGTGGTCTTGTCACCATGCCATTCGTCATAGGTGACAACCTGCGCGGTTTAGCTTGCTCTCGATGTTTCTTGTTTGATTAATGGGTGTCGGGAATTTTTTTTTTTTTGGTTGCAGCGAATGAGGCATTGGAGAAGGTGTCAAGCTATGGGCTTGCGCCCAACATGATTCTGTATTTGATGAAAGATTATGGAATGGGTGTGACCAAAGGCCAAAACTTGCTCTTCTTCTGGTCCGCTGCCACCAATTTCATGCCTTTGCTTGGGGCTTTTGTTGCAGATTCTTATCTGGGTCGTTTCCTCACCATTGCTCTTGGCTCTGTGTTTAGCTTCCTGGTAAAAATCTAATCTTTTTCCTTTCTTTTCATTTAAAATGATATGTTTCTGTTGTTTTCTTCTTTAATTTGTTGGTATCTGCAACTTCCCTTTTAAGCTTTTTCTTCTCCCTTCTTCTGATTTCTACTTGGTTTTTAGCGCACCATTTGTTTACTAGTTAAATGTGAAGAAACCGATGCGTTCTGTGAATTTATTATTACTTGTTTCAGCGTATTAACATCGTTTTCTCGCTAGTTGTTCCAAATACGCTTCTCTGCGAAGGTAAATTATAAATGTCGAATTAGACAAAACAAATTGTCATGGTTTCCGCTGATATGGTCAGAGGATCCAATGCATGTGAATTTGCTATAATGATGAGCTCTCACTTGGTAGCACAGTGTTTCCTAATTAATTGTTTGATGGCTGGACCAATAGTGACATGTTTGACCAATAATCAATTGTTTGGGATAGTGACATCTTGTGGGATGATTGTTGCTGAAACCTTAAGTTCTTGTCTTCAACAACACAAACCAATTCCATTTTAAAATGATGCCCTCCACCCAAATTGGTCAGACTGGTGATTTGGTAATCATAAAGTTACAAATTCGACTTTCAACGAAAGCAGTCTATTTGTTTTCTTGGTTTGAACTGGTCAGCTTAAGCATTTTGTGGGTTGAAAACATGAAATGAATTGGGACATAATAACCTTAAACTGCTTGTTTACAGGGAATGGTTGTTTTGTGGTTAACTGCAATGATTAGGCAGTTAAGGCCTGCATGCACTCAATTAGGGCAGCCCTGTAAAACTGCTTCACCAGCACAATACTTTGTGCTGATATCTTCATTTGTGCTCATGTCGATTGGCGCGGGTGGGATAAGACCATGTTCTCTAGCATTTGGAGCAGACCAGTTGGACAAGAAAGATAATCCCGAGAATCGGAGGGTACTAGAGAGCTTCTTTGGTTGGTACTATGCTTCGGCTGCTGTTTCGGTTGTGATTGCTCTGACTGGCATTGTCTACATTCAAGATCACTTGGGTTGGAAAGTCGGGTTTGGAGTTCCAGCAATCCTCATGTTGGTCTCGGTCATTCTCTTCATTGTTGCCTCCCCGTTGTATGTGAAGCGAAAAAGAGGAAGGAATTTGTTCAGTGGCTTTGCGCGTGTGCTGGTGGCTGCTTACAAGAATAGGAAGCTCTCTTACCCATCTAAGGCTTCTGATTATCATTGCGACAAAGGTTCAGACTTTATAGTGCCCAGTGGCAAATTAAGGTATGAATCTAACAAAAGTACAAAACTTTTCTTTTCTTGATATGATCTTTAACATTTATCTGCTCTGATATGATCTTAGGTTCTTAAACAAAGCTTGCATTATCAAGAACCCTGAAGACTTGAAGCCAGATGGCGTTCCAACGAATCCATGGGGTCTTTGCACAGTCGAGCAGGTTGAGGAGCTAAAAGCTCTGATTAGAGTGATCCCATTGTGGTCTACTGGGATCATGTTGTCCATAAACCTAAGCCAGAGTTCATTCCCTTTACTTCAAGCGAATTCGATGAACAGACATGTGACAAAAAGCTTTCAAATCCCAGCAGGATCTTTTGGCTTGTTTACAATCTCAGCTCTAACAATATGGGTAGTCCTGTATGATCGCGTGATCCTTCCATTGGCCTCGAAGGTGAGAGGGAAACCGGTTTGTCTCAGCCCCAAATCAAGAATGGGAATTGGGATATTCCTGTCTGCCTTGGGGATGCTAACCTCGGGGGTTGTGGAGCATGTTCGACGAGGAAGAGCAATCGAGCAAGGGCTGTTGAACAACCCAAAAGGCATGGTGGAGATGTCAGCAATGTGGCTCGTGCCACAACACTGCCTGAACGGATTAGCTGAGGCTTTTAACGCGATAGGGCAGACTGAATTCTACTACTCCGAGCTCCCGAAAAGCATGTCCAGCATTGCCTCGTCTATGTTCGGGCTGGGGATGGCGGTGGCAAACCTGTTGGCAAGTGTGATTCTGAGCACGGTGGATCGTTCCACAGGAGGAGAAGGGAAAGAGAGCTGGGTTTCGAGCAACATAAACAAGGGTCACTATGAGTATTACTACTGGCTTCTGGCTATCATGACGACGATTAATCTGCTCTACTTTTGTGGTTGTAGTTGGCTTTATGGACCTTGTGTTCAAAAGTTGAGGAGCAAAGAAAACATTGAGGGTGATAATAATGCACCCAAGGAAAGGCTTTCAACACCAGGAGTCCAGGAGCACCATTGAGAGTAATTGGCTAGTGTAGTAGATATAGTTGTATTTTAAGGATATATATATATGATGTGATTTTGATTACTAAATTTTACTGTTATTTGCAATAGTTTTATTGAGTGTCCAATCTGCTAGCTGCTCTTTTGTCTTGGAATTGGTATGTGTATGGGTCCAGATATAAAGAGGAAAGGTTGCCATGGCCCATCCGCCCATGGGAACAAGTATTATAAGGCAACTCAAGGAGGGCAAAGAAGATGTAAGGTCTGCTTTCATTGAGAGTCGAACTCAAGACCTCCCGCTTACTAAACGGGTGCTCTAACCAACTGAGCTATGAAAGCTTGATGGCAAAATTGGAACGACTATTTATATGATTAATTATATTCTATGCGATTTCAAATAGAGTCTACGGTTTTGAGTTGAGATATAACATTTTGGTTTCTTAGGTGTAGTTGTATATATGAATATGACACTATATCATCATAATTTTTTATTTAAAAAGTACCAATAGTAAAAAAATAATAATAATAAATCAAATTTCTCATTTATGAATTAATTGTAGTATACTAATTGAGTAGAAAAGAATCAAGAAATAGAGCGACGGAAGATGTGAATAGTAACTTAATGGAGGCATAATGACTTGGAATGGGCTAAGCTACCGGTTAGGAACACAAAAGGCCAACATTAAGCTTGGGGAGTTAGGGATGGTGAAAGCATGTTCCAGTATATTTAATAATGGAAGACATCCTCTTCAAACTCAAAACTTATTCTTAAATATTCATAGTCATATATCAAAATTTCATTAACTAATAAAATACTATTGGAACTCAAATAGGTCCATAATTTGTTCAAATTTACTTGTTTACACTTCTACTACACTATACAGAAAGAATTGAACAATGCTAAAAATGACATGCCATAAACGTTAATATGCTTTAGCTTTGTACTCTTTCTTTCCACCTGATGTGAAAATAGGCATAATGTCCATCAGTGTTATTATTATTATTATTAAAGTAAATAAATGAAGTTCCTTATTATTTGTTTCCACCCGAAAAGTTGAGATACAGGGTTGAATTCTGGTGCAAACAAGGTTTCGCATGAGAATGTGTGGATGCACCTTCAAACAAGTATAAATATACCGTAAAACATTTTTAAATGTACCGGCACTATTGATTGTTAACCTTTGATATGCACCGTCAATCATTTCTGAATGCACCAGTTAAAAATCA